TTGAGATCCCAGAACCTCTTGGATGTTTGACATAGAAACATACTGTAACTTTGAACATTGTACCGCAGGACTTTATCAATCAGGAGGTGCCAAATCATCATGGCACTGCTATGTTTCAGTTTGAGCTGTCCAACCCGGGGTGTATGCTTCCGTATGGGATGCAACATGTCACTACCTACTCACATACTTTATGATACAATGCAGCCACGCCCGAAGCACGGCCCAACCCCAGCCATATCAAAAGAATCGTCCCTACATCTATATCCATCATGGTTTAATAGTTTAATGGTTTCTAAGCCTGGGACTTCCCATAGCCTATCTGTTTTGCTTGTATGGTGCATTCTTGTGCATTTACAACGACCTGTACCCTTGAAAAAACTCAGTCACGTAAGTACATAATGTCAATAATTGTAAAATGCCACATGAGTGGCAAACAAAATTACTTACTTACTACCCGCAATGGACATCGCCAAAGTGGGTGGTCCCCTATCGGTCGTGAAGGTTTATACTTCCATGCTATGTGCAAAAATAGGGTATCGGTAAGTGGGTGGTCCCTTATCCGTTGTGACTGTTTACGCACAAATTTCATCCTCTCAAGTTGCTTCGAACCTCCTTGGGGACCATTTTAGAACCCAAAAATGGGTCCTAAAATGGAATCTACAAGGGGGGTCTTAGAACCCAAAATTTTTGGCAGCTATTCCGTTTTTGGGTTCTAAAATGGGTTCTAAAATGGTATCTTCGACCCTTAAAAATCATGAACACATCCAAAACTTGATATACTCGAGGACGCACTCATGCGTCAAACTCTTCAACATCTTCACTTCTTGTAATGGCCCAGTGTTTCCAAATCAACTGTTGGTATTATAGACCAATGCTGAAATATCATGAAATAGCATTAAATGGCTGTATTTCTCTGCAACGTTGTTAAGGCCTTACTTGATCTCATTTGACCTTCTGTGTATAGAGCTACATCTATGTGTTCTGAAATGGAATCCATGGGCCACAGATGTTGAATCACACTTTGGTACATGAAGGAAACCATTCTAGAACCCTTCCCTCCTCTCCACAAGAAAAGTTGGGACATTACAGATCAATGTGTTTCCAAATCAACTGTTGGTATTATAGACCAATGCTGAAATATCATGAAATAGCATGAAATAGCTGTATTTCTCTGCAACGTTGTTAAGGCCTTACTTGATCTTATTTGACCTTCTGTGTATAGAGCTACATCGATGTGTTCTGAAATGGAATCCATGGGCCACAGATGTTGAATCACACTTTGGTACATGAAGGAAACCATTCTAGAACCCTTCCCTCCTCTCCACAAGAAAAATTGGGACATTCCAGATCAATGTGTTTCCAAATCAACTGTTGGTATTGTAGAGCAATGCTGAAATATCCTGAAATAGCATTAAATAGCTGTATTTCTCTGCAACGTTGTTAAGGCCTTATTTGACCTTATTTGACCTTCTGCACTTTATGTACACATCCCCTTAATTTAAAAATTCTGCCTCGTTAATTCGGGATGACGTCGTGACGTCGAATTAAATCATACAAATACATCATCATATGATCATATGGTATTATAGTATATTATAAACTATATTATACTGTATTATACAAGCTTCCAAGGTTCTACAATGCTTACGGGACCGGAGGTTCTACAATGATTTTTTTTCATTCTAGAACCCTCCGTGTTTATCCCCAGGGGGGGGCATTCTAGAACCTTCCAACTTGAGGGTATCAAATTTCAACATCCCATGTGCACTCCCCACTGCTTTAGTTTTCCAGCTAGTTTTGTCGGTTACTCAAAAACTGCTATGGTTGGAATATGTATGTTGGATATGTATGCACATGTAAAAAATATAATGGATATCTCCATACATGGGGGCTTTAAGAGGGTCACCCATTTCATCATCCAAGTCATCATTTCACAATGACGATGACATTGTATTGAAAGCTTTTTTGTGGCTTGTGGATGCACACTTTTTGGACACGATTAATCACCATTAATCACCAGTTGATAGTACCTTATAATCACCATCAATCATGAACCACTGTTGGAAACCATGAATCACCATTAATCACCAGTTAATAGTACCTTATAATCACCATTAATCATGAATCACGGTTAGAAACCATTAATCACCATGTAGTTCTATTCGGTTGTGGAATCCCTGGTTGCTGATCGCATTGTAATGGCTGCATGCATGTTGCATGGGGGTTCGATAGTCGTTTATGAGGAGATCCGGTTTTGGAGCTGCAATTTCTCACGCCGTTGCGCGTAGTTCTATTGTGTTTAGCAATTCAATATCTCGATATCGCATTGTAATGGCTGCGTCAAAGTTGCTTGTTGCCGCGGCTGCATGCGTAATACTATATATGTCTTTTGCGGCTGAGACTCGTGAATCGTGTTGGAGTGGCTGCATCAAGGCTGCGATAGTGATTTGTGAGCAGATTTTCTCTTTTTTTGCGCTGAAGGTGATTTTCCTTTTAGGAATCGTTTTAAAAGTGCTTCGAAATCGTCGTTTTTTTTGGCGGTGGCGCCGGGAACCGGTTTTGGAGCTGCAATTTCTCACACCGTTGCGCGTAGTTCTATTGTGTTTTGCATTTCAATATCTCGATATCGCGTTGTAATGGCTGCAACAAAGTTGCTTGTTGCCGCGGCTGCATGCGTATACAATACATACTATTGTCTTTTGCAGCTGGACATCGTAAATTGTATTGGAGTGTCTGCATCAAGGTTGCGATGCTGATTTTCTCAATTTTCAGCGCTTGTGCTTTTCCTTTTTGAATTTCTTTAAACATGTGCTTCAAAATCGTTTATTCGTCGGTTTGGCGCTGGGATCCGGTTTTGGAGCCGCAATTTCTGTTGTATCGAGATGCGGTTTTGGAGGTATAGAACTTTTTTTCTCTGCGAACAAAGAATTTGTCAATGTATTGGTTGTCATACGAAATGGTGGAGCTGTTGTCATGCATATTTTATTGTAATTAGTTTTTGTTCCGCGAAATTGCAGTGGTTGTTTACAAAAGGGGGTCGCTCTTGTTCTCCAGGTGTTTTCTTCAAGTCTTGTAGTACAAAGTACTACTGGGGTGTACGCTGTGCAAGCTTTGTAGTTCAAAATAGTACTGGGAAGTGCTTTGCGCAAGCTTTGTAGTACAAAGTATTCTGTAAAGACTTTTCTGAATAAATGCATCTGTGTCTCAAGCTTTCTAACGTGCAGAAGAGCCGAGATGGGTTGAGACTAGCTTCGGTGAGATGAGAAAGGTTGAGCTGTGCTCAGATGAAATGAAAATAGTCAAGAAGAACTTGGCTGTAGCTGACATATGAGAAGACATGAAATGAGATAAGAAAAGCTCGGATGAGATGAGTTGAGATGAAGTGCAAGTGTGAAGTGTGGAGTGCGGGGTGTGAAGAGTGCAGTGCGAAGAGTGAAGAAAGTGCTCACTTGGCGTTGCACTGCACCGGGGTCGCGCGCAGGTCCTGTTCTACAGCCTGATTATCGATGAGCAACCTGACAGGTCTGTTGGCTGCACTGCATTGTCTGTTCAAAGCCTGGTACAATGCCTTTGGTCGTGGGGCTGTCATGTGCAACCGCGGCCCAGCTTGCTCTCTGCCACAACTCACTACCACAAGCCATGACATAGCTACCATCCAGACCCAGCATGGGCAACATCCCAAGGTCAGATTGTCGAATTGCACGAGCTCCTCATCCGGCTCATCATCCAGCTCCTCATATGACTCCTTGCTGAAATCCCTATTGTTCCTAGTGAAATCCTATTTAACACAATTAAATTCATATTTTTCTTGCTTAAGCTGAGGGTTAGTCATGGTTAGCCACCATCAACACTACTTTCATGATGTTCAGTCTGGAGTTAGATGGGTTTCCCCCATTCATCCCATTGCAGCCCCATTTTACGGCGACGGGTTATAGATCCGATAAACAAATACCATTTAATAAGATCCTATTAAAGCCCGTGAACAATATTATTCATGTTGCACTCCTAATTTTTTATCCTTAAAATCTCCTACTACAATTGATCCCATAGAATCCCTATGGCATCTCAGCCCCTATGAAATCCCTAGGAGTTCCCATAAAATCCCCAGGACATCCCATCAAAATCCTCTAAAATCTCTCTTGAAATTTCCTGCTTGAACTCTCTGCCACCAAGCTACGCCGTCCTCCGGCGGTGCCACGGAAAGGCTTTGTTGTCCAGGACGGCCAGCTCCAGGCCACGGTGATCCACAAAGTCACGAAGCATCACCAAGTCCTGCAGGATCCCCATTAATGGTGCTTTTAAGCAATAGAAATGCAATGAAATGCCAATTGCTCACCAAAAAATCATAGTAAACACGAATTAAGTCACAGAAATGGCGATTTCAACAGCAAAGTAATAGGGATTTAACAGGATTTAAGCAACAGAAATTGTGATTTATATAACCGGCACACATGTGAGAATGAGTAACAGTAGATACTTACTACACATGCCGATTTGACTCAGCAAACCGTGATTTAACCCACCACATATGGATTTTACGCATCACAAGTTGATGAAATAAATAGGCAAATTCCAGGGTTTGGGGCAGATATATCGAACTAGTGATTATTGACAAACATTACTGATTGGTGGTTTCAACCCATCCAAGAAATCTATCATTTGGGTTTATCATCCTAAATATGGTGGGAAAACGGAACTATGACCATATTACACTATAGATATGCACAATAGATATAAATATATATATATATAATATGGAGAAGCACATGATCCTGAGGTCTTATCATTTTTCTTCATTGATTCGACAAATTGCAGATGTAAATCAACAATAGTGTCCATCCCGGATTAATAAACCATGGCTTATTAATTAGGGATACTCCCCAAATATCCCCAAATAGTGATAATTAATCTGGTGATGGTACCCCCCCAATTAAACAGTCTAGCTATCGATCGGTGATACCTTGGTGCTTTCCGAATCCTGGGCCAAGTGCTCATCAAGGTCACCCAAGGGATTGTGGAGCACCATGACCTGAGCAACGCGTACAGCCAGGACATCGTAAACAGGAATCATGTTCGAAAATCGCCGGGATAATTTGTCGCAGTTCACCTGAG